TCAAAGCTGAAAGCTAAGATGACATCAAGCAACTCTTGAACTTCTGGAAATTTTCACAACTGGCTACCTGAAGCCCCTATTAACCTGTTCCATCACACTCAAGACTGCCACACTTTACTATTTCAAAAAAACGAAATCCTGGTGTTCAAAAGCTGTCATACAATGTTGGATAGTGAGAACACATTAAGAGAGAAGTTTGATGAGTCTAAGAGGATAGGATTACTTCTTTCACAAGTGATGCTAATGATCAGACACTAGTATTTAGAGTGGTAGTTTATTTATTTTTTTTACATTTTAAGCTTTTATTTAGTGTGAAAGATGCATAGGAGAGTGAGGGCTTTATTTATAGGAGAGAGATAGATCTGCGTTCATACCAAGTACCAGGAATCAGCCACGTGGAAGAGCATCCAGGCCAGGAAGCATAGGGCAGGTTGGCCTGAAGGCCATGTGCCCTGAAGGCACAGGGCTACAGCCAGCCCCCTACTGGCAAGAGGCCAGGGTGACAAAAAAGAATAAAAGGGGGGATAGACACACTGTGTCACAGATTTTTAATCCATTATCAAAGGGGAGTGGCTAATCTGATCAGCCAGTGGGTGCTCAGATGTGGCCAGGTAGGGGCATGAGGTCACACAGGGGCGTGGCAAAGGCATGGTCTTCCAGCTCACAAGCCTAATCAATTTTAACTTGTATGCCTGTCTACTTCATTTCCCCCCTCAGAGACTTCATCCCTTAATCCTAAGGGAAGTTGATAGGTGTAGAATTATCTCTTCTGTAAATGCTTCCTGCTTATGGGGGCATAGTGCAGGCCCTGCCTATGGGTCTGGAATTCTCTGCATAGCCTACCTAACAAATTCGCTTTGTGAGCGGGAGCAGTCTTGGTCATTGCCAATGTCTGTGTCCCCTACATGGTCAGTTACTCCCAGAAGTTGAGTTCTGAAACATATAAGTTTGCTGATTAGCATAAACAAAACTGGAACAAAACCAATTATAAGTGGGGTGCCCCTTAAGATGAAAACAATGTATTTTTCAGATTCCCAGATAGTGGGTAGTGATAGGTTACCCTTATGTAGATTATAACCCATTTAGCTTGAGTATAGAGAAATATAATAGAAATAACTCATTAGGTAGCTTTATTATCAATAACAGTTCCCAGAGATAATGAAGAAATGCAGGTACAGCATTTTTGCCTTAAGGTACAGCAGTCTTGATGTGACAAAGGCAAAACTTTACTTATCCTTATTGCTTTGAAGAGGTACTAAGGTCTCTGATTGGCTTACAGGAATAATCAAGCATGTCTTTTGCATTCACCTGTGAATATGTAAGAGGCAGAAGTTTAATCCTAATTTAACGGAGGTAGTCATGCTCAATATCACCTGGTAAGGTCCCTTTCACTTAAGCTGAAACTGATCTGAAGAGAATCTTCTTATGAATGGTTTGCTCAGGAATTGTTAATGTTGGAGTTTTTGTTAAAAACTCCTTGATTCCTTGGAACAGCTTTTGTAGCTCCCATGCCCAGCACATTGTGTCTATGTCAGAGGCTTTTTAAGCAAACACACAGCTTAGAATCCAAATCCTGGAATCCATAACAACTTTTGTTGCTATATTTTTCAGTACAGAGTCTGCATCAGGGCCTCTTTAAAGCTATGTACAAAAGCTTGGAATCCAAATCTTGGAATCCAAATTCCATAGAATCCTGTCATCAGCAATTCCCAATACCAGAGCTTTTAGTTAGACGCTCCTTAGTTCTCTGGAACAACTTTAGCAGCTACACTTTTCAGTACAGAGTCTGCATCAGGGCCTCTTTAAAGCTATATACAAAAGCTTGGAATTCAAATCTTGGAATCCAAATTCCACAGAATTTTGTCATTCTCAGAAATCTCCTCAGCTGCCTTTAAATAGCTGACCCTATGTTAAAACATATGAGACAGAAATTTCACAGAGACATGTATCCAAGATTTTACATTTGAGGCACTTAATAAACTTTAAATAAATACCTAAGAATACAGGCAATGGAGCCTGACACTTAGCCACAACTAGAACTTATGATGCATAATATCACACAATAGCACAAAGTAAATTTTTGGAGTTAAGTTTTACCATTAATGTTAATACTGTAGTGTGGGGAGCAACTCGGACTAGACTAAGTTACTGAATTAAGACTTATTCTATGCATCTGCTCTCCCACAATATGGCGCTGGGAGAGGAGTAAACAGCTTCTACGCAGCTGCCTCCAGTTCGACCAGTGACCTGCAGGAGCTGATCCTGCTCCTGATTGGAGGAGAGCAGCGTACTCGGCGTGTGGGTAGCAGAGTTGGGATTGGTGGAAGAGGACTATAAAGGAGGAGAGAGACAACACGCACCAGGAACATCTATCTCAAGGAACACCTGAGCAGCCCCTGAGAGAGCCGGCCGGCAGTGTGCCGCTCCCCTGCAGAAGTGGGGAAAGTGGCAGGGGGGCCCGCCCCTCCACGGAGGTGGAGGGACGACAGCCAACCCGGGAAGAACCATCAGCAAACCCGGGGAGGGCCAAGCAGACAAAACAACAGCGCAGGGTCCTGTGTCGTTCCTCCACGAAGAGGGGGAGCGACATAATGGTGCCGTGACTCCGATAGGAAACCTAGGAGGGAAGAAGCGGGAAGAAGTGGGAAAATACCAGAGAGAGAGACTAGCAAAGAGCCTAGGGAAAAGCCGGATGGAAAAAGTGCCGGAAGAAGTTAGGGTTGAAAGCGAAAGTGAAAGCTGGAGGAAACTTAGACTCGGATACGGACTATGGCGGGGAAGCTGGGAGAAATCTCTAAGGTCGAAAGCGAAATTGAAAGCTGGAAGAAACTTAGACTCGGATACGGACTGTGGGGAGAAGCCAGGGAAATGAGAGGGGAATATTGTTGGAAGAAAAGTTAGGAAACATACCGCGTAGAGAAAAATGTTAGGGAAAATGAAGCTGAGGGGGCAGGCTGAGGTGGAGACGTAAGCTAGGTTGGGATTCGTCAAGTCAGCCCGGGGAACAAAAGGCGAAAAACTAAAACCAGAGGCGGAGACGTAAGCCAGGTTGGAATCCGTCAGATTAGCCCGAGGAGCAAAAGACGGGAAGCCAAACCAAAAGGCGGAGACGTAAGCTAGGTTGAATTCACCAGGTTAGCCCGGGGAACTTAGACTGAAAACCAAGAAGCGGAAACGTGAGCTAGGCTGTGTGATTCGCGGAAGCCGCCGCACGCAAAAAGAGCGCGCGGGGCACGAGTGGGGAGAGCGCACGGGGCGCGAGTAGATAGGGAACACGGGGCTGGTGCGGAGGCCGTGGTGCGGGCTCGAAGGGTGCAGAGACCGCGGAACGCACGCAGAGCTGGGAAGCTGCCTCGGGGCAGGCGCAAGGAAGCCACAGGGATAAGAGAAACAGAAGTTTAGAAGTAAAATGAGAGAAATAGGAATGCTGGCAGATAGAAGTAAAATAGGAGAGATAGGAATGCCTGGAGATAGAGAAATAGAGAAAAACAAGGCCTCCCCACAACATGGCAATGAGAGGGCTTGGATTCGGTCTGCCTGATTAGGCGATAAGCACCAGCAGGCAGCTCGACCAAAGTATGAGCTGCAGGTCACCGAAGATAGGCACGAATCAACATCAATAAGTCTCCCCACAATACGGCAATGAGAAGGCTCGGATTTGGTTTGCCTGATTGGTAGGGCTTGTAAGCACCTGCAGGCAGTTCTAGCAGAGCAGAGCATGCGCTGCAGGGCACCGAACACAGGCACGCATCAGTGCCTAAAAACCTCCTCACAACATGGCGAAGAGAGGGCCCGGATTCGGTTTGCCTGATTGGTAGGGCTTGTAAGCACCTGTGGGCAACTCTAGCAAGCAGAGCAGAGTGTGTGCTGTGGGGCACTGAAGACAGGCACGTATCAACGCCAAAAAATAAAAAGAAAGGGGGAACTGTGGGGAGCAACTCGGACTAGACTAAGTTACTGAAATTAAGACTTATTCTATGCATCTGCTCTCCCACAATATGGCGCTGGGAGAGGAGTAAACAGCTTCTATGCAGCTGCCTCCAGTTCAACCAATGACCTGCAGGAGCTGATCCTGCTCCTGATTGGAGGAGAGCAGCATACTCGGCGTGTGGGTAGCAGAGTTGGGATTGGTGGAAGAGGACTATAAAGGAGGAGAGAGACAACATGCACCAGGAACATCTAAGGGGAACACCTGAGGAACATCTGAGCAGCCCCCGAGAGAGCCAGCCAGCGGTGTGCCGCTCCCCTGTGGAAGTGGGGAAAGTGGCAGGGGGGCCCGCCCCTCCACGGAGGTGGAGGGACGGCACCCAACCCGGGAAGAACCATCAGCAAACCCGGGGAGGGCCGAGCAGACAAAACAACAGCACAGGGTCCTGTGTCGTTCCTCCACGAAGAGGGGGAGTGACACTGTAGCTCTTTTGAGAACAGAGGTCCTACATGGGAAGTTAGTACACAGTGACTCCTGTTGCTAATTTAACAATTAACACTCTTATGTGTGACATCAGTGATCACCCAAGGCTCTTGACATAAGCTGCCTAGGCCATGGAAGCCTTTTGAGTTCCACAAACTCCATCAGTATTCAGACAAGGCCATAAGCAAAGTGGAAGTCCTCTCCTCCCTCTGGAGAAAAGTACATTCTACTTTGATGACCACTCCTTTCCACTGGAGTCTCACCCAGGGAGGTTCTCCACATAGGGACACTTTTTCCATGAGTGCCCTGGATTTCCATGCCTGAAATGCTCTTGTGGGCTTTCTAGCCAGACCAGAATGCCTTTAGGGGTGATTTTGAGGTCACTGAGTATTACTTAAGGAGATTGCCACTCTATGAGTCTGCTGCAAGGACTCCCTCCCATATTGGAGCATTCACTCCTCTTTAATTTTATTTACTATTAGCAGTTAATACTTAATCCTGTAGACAGGATCACTTTAAAACTTAAGATGTTAACATTACCATCTAGCCCAAGGGGATTTGCGATCCCATATCAAGTTTTAAACTGTACCCTTAGAAGTAAGTCTGTAGGAATGTATGCAGAGCTATACAGCTTTACAGTCTCTGTAGGACCTGAGAAAATAAAAACAGACACAGGTCTTCATGAGCTTAATTATTCTTAAGCATTTTACATGGATACATTGCATTAGCTATAATTTCTTAATCCTTCTAGTCAAAGGGCCTCCCAATTATTAAGTGTATATCTGTCATGGAGTCTCCAAAGGAGCAGATATATAACTATCCATAGTTAAATCACCTTGTGGGGCCAGCGCTGTGGTGCACTAGGCTAATCCTCTGCCTGCAGAGCCAGCATCCCATATGGACACCGGGTTCTAGTCCTGGTTGCTCCTCTTACTGTCCAGCTCTCTGCTGTGGCCCAGAAAAAGCAGTGGAGGATGGCCCAGGTGCTTGGGCCCTTGCACTGCATGGGAGACCAGGAGGAGGCAACTGACTCCTGGCTTTGGATCAGCGTAGCTCCAGCTGTTGTGGCCATTTGGGAGGTGACCCAATGGATGGAAGACCATTCTGTCTGTCTCTCTCTCTCACTGTTTGTAACTCTACCTGTCAAATAAATAAATTCTTTTAAAATCACCTTGTAACCTGGGGAGACAGGAGGTAAATAGGGCTAAGCTTTGGCCCAGTTATATCTCTGATCATCTACCTTAACACTTAATCTGACATCTCAGAGCTACTATACCTATTATAGAGCTTAATGTATAAAATCATAGTCAGAGGGAAAAATAAGGAAATAACGTAGTTAAATCTTATTCAGAGGTGAAAACAACAAACTAACATAATAAAGTCCAGCTCAGAGGCGAAAGTAACAAGCTAACATAATAAAATATGATTTAATATACATTGCTCTATTAATCAGCCATGTAGTATGTGGTTGGTCATGGGGGCCACCACCTTGGGGCGGAGTCTGTTGCCCATCTTACTATGAGGGTGGAAGTTCCCATGGTGGGTCACCATCTTGGGGCATAAGTCCCACCCTCCACGTAGAGTGGTATTCTAAAGTTCATCTGTAGTGCTCAGAACATTTTTCTGATTCATTATTTATACTTCTTGCTGTGTTGATCTGACAAAGAATCCATTGAAATATATAAATTGCTCTGCTGCAGCCATGGTGTACAAAGAAAATCCTCAGCACTGTTGTACATAGTGAAACATATTTCTTTTCAATCATATGTAACACAAGTGTACATGCATTAACAATTGCTACTCATAGATTATTGGGATATCCAGCAATGATCACCACATCCAAATGTTTTGTTCTTCAAATTAAATAATAGATATGTCCATCCCAAAGCACAGAAAAAATTATAGCACAAAGAGCTTCCCTTTGTGATCTCAATATTAGAATGTAAAAGTAGAGAAATGGTTTCACACCAATGGGAAGAAACTACACATTTCTCCTGATTGTAAGAACATGTTTCTTTCAGGATAGATATTGGAATCATTTATAATAATTCTACACTGGTGTTACTTGAGGGATTGGCAACTCAGCTTTGGAAGTAATAGAGAATCCAAATTGGCATGTTCCCCAACCTTTCCCAGAAAAAACGGTCTCCTCCCTGTTACTTTAGGGGCCTGGAACCCTCCCTAGTTGACCTTACATTTTTGAATATGTTTTTTTGTTTGCCTTCTCACTTCCACAATACCATTTTCTGACACTCATATCCATTGTTATGGTGCATTTAACTGCATTTTAATTGCATATCTACAACTTACTGATCTAACATCTCAGTATCTCTGAGTCCATTTGTCTTCTGATAACTGCCCAAATTCGATATTTATACATTGTCCTCAATTAAGAATGGCTTTAAGATGCATATTTGTCTTCAAATCCATGCTTGCATTTTCTTCTAAAAAACAGCTGGTTGATGCAAGTGTTTATTTTTAAAAAGTTCTTTTGTAAAATCATGCTCTTTATGTTTCACTTTTAAAGATGCTTCATTTTTTATCATATTTAGTTTCTCTTGGTGTTGGAGTTCTCATAATCTCTTGTTCTGTTGAGAAGGTCCCTCTTTCAGCAGCTGAAGATTAAGAAGGTTGGTCCTTATGTCTAGACCAACAGGACACTTTAGTGGAAGGAAGGGTTCTGCACTTGCATTATCCCATACATTAGCCACACACAGATATGGTGTGCATGGAATGTGGTTCATTGAATCAATGGATTGCATTTTTAAGTTTACCTAATGAAAATTTAAAAAGCCTTAAGTGGCTATCAGTTCCCTTACTACACAGCATGAAAGAGTATTATAATGGAACAGGCAGGAATGTTTGTGTCCCATGTGGATTGAGCACCTGGTTTGCAGTCACTGTTGCAGTCCTGGCTTCACTTCCAATTCCAGCTTCCTGCTAATGTATTGGGAGCAGCAGGTAATGAATGAAAAACTTAAGTCAGGACCACCCACACAGGAGACCTGGATGGAGTTCCAGGCTTCTGGCTTTGCCCTGGCCCAACCCCAGCTGTGGCAGCCATTTGCAGAATGAATCAGCAAATAAGAGATCGCTTTCTGTCTGTGTCTGTCTCTCTGTTCCTCTGACTTTCAAATAAATAAAACAAATATTTTTATAAAAGGGAATATTACAATTATCACTGATAACCACAGATACAGCTGTGCATTGTAGTAAATCTGTAATGCCTTGTTGGGCAGACATGTCTGAAAAGAATGACATCCAGAGGACAGTGCTTGTGTCTTAGGACTTCTCATTGAGAAAAAAGACTCTTCTTGTCTTGGAATTCTCAACCCTGATGATGTGTAAGAATCACCTGGGAACTTCTTGTAGGCTGACAGTGTCCTGATGAAATGATGAGACACTTGGGACTTGCACCAAATTACTGGGAAAAATGAGAACAGAGACTAGGATGGCAGAAATGAGCTGTCATTTGTCACGTGCTGAGGAACACTGAACAGGACATGCACATGTCCCATACTCCATTCTCCCATTTCATGCTATGATTTCCATGGATTGTCAAATTTAACACATGGCAGCTCCACTCTAGATGAACTTAATTGTAATCCAAGAGGCTTCTGTATCTTTGGAAAAGGGCTTGTATTACTCCAGTGCTCACAAAATTTGAGAATCACTGGTTTATGAAGAAGTCCTGACGCACAGAGAATATGAACTATCTTTCCTTAAGAACCAAAGAGATCAGGAAAAAGGAATCAATAGCAAAGTCATGGAAAACAATATTTATTTAAAAAAAAAACACTCATCAAGGAGCAGGCTTTGTGGCAAGGCTGGCTAAGCCACTGCTGGTGATATTGGCATCCCATATCAGAGTGCAGGTTTGAGTCCGAACTGCTCTGCTTCTAATCCAGCTTCCTGTTAATGCACCTGATGGTCCAAGTACCTGGGCTCCTGCTACCCATGTGGCAGACTAGAAAGGAATTCCTGGCTCCTGGTTGCTGGCTTCTGCCTGGCCCAGCCCTGGCTGCTTTGGGTATTTGGGAAGTGAACAGTACATGGAAAACCTCTCTGTCTTTCTTTCCCTCTCTGTCACTCTGCCTTTCAAATTAGTAGATACATAATCTTTTTATAAAAAGAAATAAAAAGACTGACCAAAATGCATTGCCATGTGCATTATGTTAACTCCCTTACAGAAAATAATGGTAACTGTGTTGCACAAGTAGACTTACCGCCAACTTTCCTTTCTAGGTGGTTTATGGAACCTATCTCAGAAGATCCCATGGGAAGATTACTGATGGTCTGCCCACCCTCCCTTTCCTTGTATTTTATTCACTGGCCAGGCCACCCATGTGGTCATCAGTGTCCCGGATCCATGGCCCCTAATCCTGTAGCACTGTTTGACAAGGGTTAACAATAATCCTCTGCAAAGTGGATCATACAGACACAGACATCCTGGACTGAAGCAGCATCATTCTATCAAGGTCCTCATAAAAGGGATTTTTAATCTATTTTTTAAAGCCAGTGAATTTAAAAAATTTGAAAGCAGTTTATTTTTCTTTAACTCACCAATGTTTGTGCCACTATCAAATAGTACAATGCAGCTTGCTTAACAGTCCTTATTTTTCCCAAATGTCCAATAATTTCAAGTTTTATTTAGTACTTAGCATTTTAAAAAAGATGAGCTAACCATATATAATGTTCAATAATGCATAAATGTATAAAATGCATAAAGCTCAACAATGCATTAACTCTGCAGAGATGGCTATAGCATCTCATGTCTCATCTAAAAGTAATGCCACAGGATATTCATACATATTGGTTAATAGGAAATTGGATTTCATAGTTACCAGATTATTAAAAGTATAGACACCATATATTTTAAAATAAACATTTTAGCTTGGTTATGATAAACTTTTTAATAAATGTGCATTTATTTTTGTCCAGACTTAATAAAAAATGGTAAATATATAACATATAACCAAAGGTATTAGATGTTAGAAAGCATCCATTGGTATCAACCATACACAAACACAAACAATGAGACTTTAGTGACTGTTCATTTACTTTTCCTGTGGGTTGACCAAACATTTTCCAGGTTCACCCTACTACTAAAAACATGGATCTAGGAGCCTCAGAAAATCTCAACCATGGAGGATTCATTCATCTTCAGAGCAGCAGTTTCTATACCAGAAGTAAGATTTGCCAAACAAATAGGATTTACCTGACTCTATGCAAGTAATAGTGTTTACTACTAGCAGAAAATGTGATGAGTAATTAGGGGGTATGCATCTGACAAGGTGTCATGCAGATTTTAATAAAAACAATGCATGCAGATTGGCAAAAAGATACTGCAGTCTGTGGGTTAAAATAAATGAATCTGATAAGCAACAAGAGCTAAACACACACACACAGAGAGCATGTAAAACTAATGAAATCTAGGTAATGTTGATGGATTGTATCAAAATGAATTTTCTGGTTGTGCTATTATATTGCAATTATTCAAGTTACTGCTGTTGGGGGAAGCTAGGTAAAGGATTTATAGGATACCTCTACATTATTTCTTTAAATACTGCACGTGAATTTACACTTGTTCAAAATGGAGTTTTTGTAGTGAAGTGCTAAGCAGAAGCAAGTCTATGGGACAAAGATTTATTAAAACCACACAAAATCAATTATCAGTGCAAAAGTAATCAACTATTCAATAAAGGCTTTGATGATTGTGTTAAGAAATTCTAGATGAAAGCCTATGAATAGATACTCCAAAATTCTTATCAAAGGAAATCAGATAGTGAATACAGTATTGCAATTCACTAGGGGTTCTTGGCTAAATGATGGATGCAGAACACCTTCTGGAAAATTTCCTGAATGAATCCTTCACAGTGAGTTCTAGGTACTCACATCATGAAGTAACAGAACACTGTCTTGAATGCTAATGATGTATAATCGTGCTCTAAAGAATAATTTTGCCAGAAAAACACTGCACTCAATAAAACAAGATTACACTCAAGAGCCAGTCCAAGCAAAGTTACGTAGTGTGTCAGCGATAGATATCAGGCACTTTGTGTGTCATATGCATCAAACTTTATGATTAAACATTTGTATAACAAGTGTGGAATAGCTTCAGGTTAATGCAGAATTCTAAAAAGATAAATGATCGAGTCAACATATTACTGTGTAGTATAGTAAAGAAATCCTACAAGATCCCACTAGGGAAGAATAAAAACAGATAAAAAGGCTCAGAGGACAGTTAATTTAGGAGTTCTGTGTCCAGAGACACAAAGTGGCAATAGGAATAAAATAAAGGATGATGTCAAATAGGATGAATTTGGTCCATGCTGAGTAGAATAAAACCATGGCACTGAGGACCAAATGTAAGTATGGATGAGAAGGAGAAGTCATCAATGGAGATCATTAATGTGAAGACATTTGGAAAGCAAATTAAAATTAGTTATGTAAAGCAGGGATTTTTATGTGTGTGTTTGGGATTAGAGTCATGATTGACAAAAAAAAAAATGTGGAAAAATCAACCCTATTTTCCATGCTTGATTTTGTGTTGAGAGTCTTGAAAACACAAGGATCTGGGATAACCATGAGAGGTCAGAGTTAGGGTCTTTGTGGAGTTCAGTGATTATTGGAGGAGGAAGGAACAGGTGGGTCTGGTGTGCACAGGTGATGGGAAGATGATGTGGACCAGAGAGGGGGAGAAAGAAGGAAAGCATGTCTGCTTAGTGCAAACAAAATGGTCAATCATGGATATTTTTGAGCAGCTGCTGGACAAGATGACCGTTCAATTTAAGAAACCAGCAGTTATCTAAGAATGAGGAGAGAAAGTTAAGTACTTGAGACAAGGAAGGGTTGCTTGGTATAATTGGAGCTATTTTATTTATTACTTTACCTGGACACAAAGACAAATAAAACTATAGGTAAAATTCAATTTCACAAAATTGCCTTAAAATAAAAAAAAATTTGAAGAGGAAATAGATTCTTCAATTCATCAATGGTTATCCAAAATATTATTCTATTTATGGAAAGTATCTCTAATTTATAATAGATCCCATGTGTACATGACCAGATATGACACATTTAAAGGCTACGAGGTGTCAAAAATATTCAGGCACTTTGTTAGCAGGAGCTACATCACTGGAATGTTCAAAATCTGAAGCTAAGAAAATGTATTGGTGTTTACATTCATAAAACAAGGATGAAAAATGACTTAGGTAATCATAAAACCTGATTCAGAGAATGATATCTTACACCCAAGTAAAGCGTTTTGTCAAATTTCATTGTGTTCACTCAATGGCAGTAGCCAACATTTTAAATGATGCTGAGATTTATTTTTATTGGGAAGGCTAAAACTTAAGGTTTCAATAGGGGCACCGGTTTGAGTCCTGGCTGCTCCACTTCCGATCCAGCTCTCTGCTGTGGCCTAGGAAAGCAGTAGAAGACAGCTCAAGTCCTTGGGCCCCTGCACCCACGTGGGAGACCTGGAGGAGGCTCCTGGCTCCTGGCTTCAATATACTTCCAGTGTTGTGATAAAAGCCAATGTTTTCAAGCACAGAGGGAAGAGGGGTAATGAACAAAACATGTTGTTTTTTTTTTTTTTCAGTTTAAGATTAGAAATCAGCTTACAGGGTGTCAACATAATGGCCTCCATTCATAGTTACTATTAAATAAAGATTAAATGTTAAATATTTAGCATCAAATTTATAATCTGAAGGAAAACATATATTGTCATTATCTTGCACTTAATGGTTTTCCTTTTCAAATATTTTAGAGATTTACACAGAACTGGAAAATATTCCCATTTTTATTTACATTCTTCCTTTCATTTATTGATGACTTTCAACAACAAAGCATCTTCATTTCGAAGAGTTCTTACCCCAAAATTAATCTACTACTCCAAGAAAAAGATTCTATAGTTTTGAGACTTTTAAATTGTTCAACACTATCCTTAATCTTTGAGATGCAACAGAGTATTTTTTTCTACTCTAAAGCAAATACTAAAATACACAACTCAGTAACACAGAAATGAAGAGTAAAACACAATGATGGAATATCTAGGAAAAATTACAATATGATGCACAATCAGTTTGAGTAAGATGTAACTTAGGGTTTAACTTTCAATTTATTAAGTGCACTGTGAACCTGTCATTCTACAATGCCAAGCATATAGACAAACACTGTTCCACAACAAATGTTTTATGAGTTGGTAGCTATAAATAAAATATTTGCCATTCTACAAAAATCTAATATAATGCAACATCTAATAAAATTCATGTCCCCAAATCATGTCCTGTTTTGGATTAAGTTCTGATTTTTAGGAAATACATACTTATATTCACTAATTTGAGAGAACATACTTACAATATATATTGTATATCCCCCACAAAAAAAAATAGCATTACACCGATTAATCAATTTAGTTATTTTAAATGAAAGTGGGCAGTTTATACCCTGTTCCCACACTGCGTGGAGAACAATCAAATGCAATGGAAGCCAAGCAATTGACACTATTTATAGACATTCTCAGAACCACCTACTTTGTATTATTTTAAGCACCACTGTAAACTTTCGATTTTTAAGAGTCCCTTTGAAGGTGTAGAAGATGTTGGCTTGCTAATCATGCTGGAAAGCATAGTGGGTTCAAAGTTACAAAAATGTCAACACATATAAATTAGTATTAAACTTGATTATTTTCAATTGTCAATAAACTATAATGAAGGCCTAAAGTCCATAAATATTTGTTTCTGAACCCCTAAGCTTCTATGATTTGTACGTGTGTGCATTCATGTGTGTTTGTGAAACGGGAAATGCATATAAACGCGTACTGGGAAATGTTACACATTGTACTTTTAGCATCATTACTATGGATACAGATGTGAGGTTTGTAAATATTTGGGTGCTTTTCAATATTTCTAGTGATTCAAATGCTGTTAGAATTTAGCATGGTCATTACACTACATGTACAGTTCAGTGTTAGATTCAGGCATTCAGACTTTACCACAGTTGTATGCATCATGTGATTATAAGCTTTATGACCAAATGCGCATGATCTCCCCAATGCATGATCTGCATTTTACTTAACACAATTTCAATTTTCCAGAGTTCAGAAATCAACTTTATTGTAGGTTTTAGCAATGTTAGAGGGAGCAGGGGCAGGCCCTGGAGGGCATGGAGGGAAGTGGGGTCCCGCACTGAAGGGAGGCTAGGGGAGCAGGGTCAGGCCCTGGAGGGCGAGTGTGGGAGTGGGGCCGGATCCTGGAGGGCGAGGAGGGAAGTGGGGTCCCACACTGGAGGGCAACAAGGGGAGCAGGGTCCAGCCTGAGAGGGCGAGGAGGGGAGCTGGGCCCAGGCCCTGG